ATCTTCATCTACATGGAATTCCAAATTCAATTCGCGCGATCAGCACTAACGTTTTACTGAAACCAATTTTAAATCAATCTTTAATTTCGAAGATATCAATGTTAATTTTTGTACAGTAACCGATTATCGTTCTAACTCATAAGTAGAAAAGTTTGTACCCACTGTTAAAACGAAATTATTTTTGATGTCATCAGAAACATCAAAACCGTCACTAATCGATTGCGTTTTGAAAATCCTTTGTGTATGCAACCTGCGGAATACGATACAATCGAAACTCCTTTCGAAAAGCACTTCAATAGAAAGCCAAAAGTTCTCTGGAAAAACATAGTCACCCAAAAAAATATTGGGTCTAGGAAACGTGAAGTTGATCATGTTAAAGAATAGGGCACACAACTATGCGGTAGATTACAGAGGGGACAACGGTTATCTGTACACTCCTTTGGAGAATAAAATAGTCAACTCGACGAAGAAGGCTACGACTCCGAATCAAGTCCATAATTCCCTCAGAAAGTGCAAACGACGAAATACAACTCGAAGACAACCAGACTACTCCTTTGGAACCCATTCTAGAAAGGTAAAATTTTTAGAAAGGTTTTAAATCGAAGGACTACCGACCACTGCGCGAGGCAACTATGCAATCCTAAAACACTAAAATGAAGTTAGCAAGCGAGAAACTCCAGAGAATTTCTGACGTAGCGAAACACGACAGGAAATGGGCCCGAGGACACAATAAGAGGTCGCAATCCCTTTTTCAGACAACATGGCCAAAACTAAAACGGGCTCAAAAAAAATTGACGAAATCTTCAAAACCAAAACTGAAGATACGAGATTCCAACCGCAACGATCGAAAAGAAAGCTTTTGATATTTCAGACCTTGGTGATTGAGAATGGACCGCAGGTGGTTTCCTTAGATGGGATCTGCGCAGAAAAAACCTTATTAGTGATTACTACAACTCGAATGCATATCAATACCCAGAGCCCACTCCATCAGATAAGCCTATTCAATTGTAACATGTACATTTAGATTGGGACTCACAGGGACCATCAACAGAACTCCCGATAGCCTCCTTCCCGCTCAAACCTCAAACAGTCCTAAATTGCGATCTTAGAATAAAATTCAATCCCCTTAGTAGTTGATTTTTACGACACTCAACCGGTTCAACAACCACCAGCGAACACAAGTGCTAAACAATACTTAGTCTAAGAAATAGACGATGACTCTTTTAGACACCTCAAACAACCCTCTATACGAAAAAGCCGACTCATATGAGGGTAAAAATCGTATTTCAACAAGACCTAGACGAAAGGTTAGATCTCCAAAATTCTACTTTGAAAAGTTTTTTAAACATATTGTAGGCGAACAAAGAAGGGAGAGCGCAGTTTATCCATTTACGCTCAGTGAAGACACCACTAGTGATCACGTCGCAGAAAAGGAATACTTGTTCCGCAGACAACCAACCGGACTGCTTCATCTTTTTTAAACGCTCCAATGGAAGTGATACCGGAGCAAAAAATTTGACTGAAGAAGAAGTATCTCTTTGTCACCCTCATAAATGGAAGGTAGCAAAGATTTGACATCAATTCGAATCTCATCAGAAAAGTCGACAGTTACCTGTAAAATTTTTTTCCCAAACTCGAAATTAAAACTTCATGCAGTATGTATTTAAGCATCTAAATTTTTAAGTGTCATTTTTTGTACAGTCATTAATCGAATTTTGAACTGTTTAAATAAAACCAGATCAGGCGCTACCTTCGAGCCTTGGCACAAATTTTCATCCGTCGGTTTGATAGTCAGCCCAGTCAAAATAGTATTTTTCATGTACCACAAACAAAATGGCACTTTTCACATTTTAACATCAATTTGATATCAGTCAGTTGTTGCAATTCACCTCCATAAGTCTCTCAACCTCATTTTCCCAAACTTTATGTTTACCGAAATATTTCGCAAACAGTGTGGGAAAAATTTGACAATTTTCAATCGTTATCCTTAACCATCTTAGAGATTTAATTATGGTTTACTGTCCAATATAATTAACCTTCGTTCTCGGCCAGAGGTAGAAAAGGATCATAGTCATTACTACTCGAATTTATATTATAACGATACCCAGACCCCACTCCATCAGATAACCTTATTAAACTCTAACTTGTAGACTTTAACTTGTAAGCCTCTTAAACTGTAACATGGAACAGTTGGATTAAATTGTAACGTGTAGATCTTCTGCAGAAAAGGATCAAATGCATTTATTTGTTGTATTGTTATAATTTTTCCCAGTTAAGGGACGTGATGTGCTTGTCTAATTATTTTTAATAATTTACTCATTTTAACATGTCGTCTATGACCTTGAATTATGGTAGCGATCTCCATCGGAGTGACCATAATAATCTTACTCTTTTATTTCCTAGTCTCAATATATCTAATATATACTGGTTTTCTTGCGAGGTTCAAGGAGAGAATAAGGCAAATGATTTCGAAGTTGAATTTTAGTTTTTCTGGCTGAAATTATGAATGGTTTCAGCTTTACATTTTATCATAAATTTTAGTGATGGATCAAGATTGAATAGTTCTAAGTACTTTACACTGATAAATATCAAGGTAAATAAAAATATTTCAAATCTTCCGTCAAAAATTCATTTCTGCTTCCATGGTATTTTTTTTTCTATTACAAAACTCGTGGATGTAAGGGACTATGGCGAAGGGATCTCGCGGGGACCGCGTGTGGCAATAGTTTTACCCTCTTTCAACCTTGATTCCACAAAAACTTCAAAAAAAATTCTCAGTGTCTGATTTTTATCTAAAACAGATTAGTGTTAGCGACTGACCTCCAAATTTGATTCTTGCATCATAAACGTTATACAAAAAATAAGCTATACAGGCAATCGTTGTAATTACTTACAAAGTTATTTTGCTTTTTTATGAAATAAGTCAAAATAGGTCGGAAAAATATTGAAAAAAACTCATGCTTGAAATTTTTCTTAAATCAGAGTGATCGAAACATTCGGTTTTTTCTTGGTTTTTCGAAACGCGCAGTCTCTCAAGAAGATTATGGCCGCTAAATGCCAAATTGTTTTTCTAATTTTTGAGTACGTGCGTTCGATCACAGAATATGCTCTCTATCAGATACCGCACTCAGTAGAAAGAGATAAATATAGATTATAATGGATTTTTGTTGTCAGTATCCATAAAATTCAAAAAAAATTGACAATAATCGATTAAAAATCGATCCTAATGTTGAAAAATCTATATAATCGCTTATAACCGGTTATAATCGATTATTTTTCAAAAAAAAGTTTCAAATTTTTTCGAATCATAATCCATTATAATGGACTAGAATCCATCATTGTTCAACAAGCGTCATCGCTTCATTTTGTTTTTATAATGTTTTGTTTTTGAAAATCGAATAATCGAAAAACAATTCTCAAAAATTATTGAATTATAATCCATTATAAATTATAAGTCATGGCCGTAGACACTGGCCGCTTAAGTAGATGATGGCCGCTCAATGCCAAGTTGACATTCTAATTTTTGAGTAAGTGCGTACGATCACATAGTATGATGTCTATCAGATCCCGCACTCAGTAAAGAGATAATAACAGATGATATTGGATTTTTTTGTCAGTATTCAAAAATTTCAAAAAGAATTGGTAATAATCGATTAAAAATGGATTATAATGTAAAAAAAATCATCATAGTCGCCTACAATCGATTAAAATCGATTAATTATCAGAAATTATCAAAATTTATCCAATTCTAATCCATTATAATGGACTATAATCTATCATTACTCAACAAGCGTTATCGCTTCATTCTTTTTTCTTTAGTTTTGTTCTAAATCGATTACTTTTCGAAAAAAAATTCTCAAAATTTGTTGAAATTTAAGCTTTTATAATGGACTAAAATCCATCATAAATCAAGCGTCATCGCTTCATTTTGCTTTCATTTTTTAAAATGATTTTCAGTTGGTTATTCAACAAACTTCATCGCCTCATTTCGTTTGATTTTTATTTTGTTTTGTGTGCTTTGTATAGCTTAAACTTAAGTTAAATTTGATTTTTATTGCGTTTTCTTGCAGAATTGCTAAATAAAAATACCTAATAATTTTTTTTGTGAAATAAACTTTTGATAGAAAAAGGCATTATAATAAATTATAATTGATTATAAGAGATCATGAGAGGCTTTCGGGAAAATTTTAATCAATCATAATTGATTATAATTTATTAAAATATCACCAAAAAGCATATCATTATAATGGATTATAAATCGTTTAAATATCTAAAATTGGCGCTTACAATTAATTATAATTTTACTAAAAGTACAATTATAATTATGATACAATCGAGTGTTTTCCCTTTTACAGAGTGCGGGATGTCTTTTCTTGTTTCAAAAAAACCACCAGTTAATAATGAGCAGTCTGATACGATATTAAAAAAAGTTAACGGAAAGAGAAGATCGGTTGATTTAATGAGGAAGCCAATCAAAAACAATAAATATTTGATTAGCTTAGCTAGCAATCAAAACAGAATCGATTAAAATATCGACTTCTTATTGTTCTTTTTTTTTCTTTGAAGAAATCGTCACCAAAAACAGATTTGAAAATGTTGCTCTGCGGATTATTTCAAGTTTTATTAATTGTCTTCTTTGTTCAATGAACATTCGAAGCTTCATTATTGGATCTATTCACACCTCAGTGATAAAGAGAGAGTGATTGTATAAAACGTTGAAAACTAATAACTCCTAACAACTAGTAAAAACAAGAACTTTCAGAGCTTTTTTGAAGCCCGTATGTGGTCGGAGCATTCTGTTCTTCTTGTAAAAAAAACGTCTGCTTTTGATCAGGTTTATCTATACTTTTGATATTTTCTAATTTTTTTATTCGAATTTTCATAATTTGAGAAACAATCAAAAACTGAATTCGAGCTATTATGTTATTAGTGCATACCATCTTATAGTTTACGCAACCGAAGTTAGATGAAAGAAGTTATGTTAAAGCTAAATCCATCAATAACTAATCTCTTTGAGGCAATCAAAATATTCACAGATATTTACAAGCATGAGTTGAACACAGCAAAAATGACAATGGATACTATGATATGGACATACAAGAAAAACCGGTCCATAATTGTGGCTAAATATTGCCACAAAAATGTCATATCATGTTCATCATCTGCGTAGTTTCCTGGGGTCATTTCGTCAGCTGATCTGGCCAAAACTTTAAAGTTGGTTTTCTTATCATCCAGGTTTCTTTGAAAATCGTCGGTGGAGGGCTGGCCTGAAGTTTCAAGACATTCAGTGTCCAAGTTTGAGCCTTCAGCTCCATCCTGCGTATCCAAATTTGGAACTCTGCTGTTTGTTTTTCTGTCTTGCTCAGTACTCGGAAACGCTTTTTCGATAGGGCATGGTTTCAATCCAAAGATAAATGTGCCTCTACATGAAATAAAACGACGCAACTTGATACCCATCTTGAACCGCCCACCGATATAGTGAATGTTGACAACTAAAGCAAACTTTTTGTTTAGTTTGTTTTGGACAGTGTGGTCATTTGAGTGACAGCAGCTCCCAACAGGGAAGCGATGATTGAGAAGCTCAGAGAGCTGGCTGGCAGAATATCAGAAACAGACGCCTCATATTTGAGGCTAATTTTTTTTTAAATGAGCTGCAATGCAGAAACTTTAAAGTTAAACAGAGATTTTAAGTATCATAAGAGTAAGTATTTTGAGAGGGCCCAGTTTTTTTTTCAATTTGCCCGGCCAAGAAAGCTCGACCAAGTTTTCCGAAAAACGGCTCCCGAAAGTTTCAATCTTCTGCTAGTTTTTGGAGTTTCGTCAATTGAATACTTGAAAACGTTTTTAGTTTTTGAAATTTTAGCAAAAATGAGCAAAATATCATATACCACCTATACACTGTCAAATTAAATAACATCAATACTGATGCTAATTGTGTAAAATTTGATTAATTTTGGAGAAAAATTTCTTTCTTATTTAAGAAACTCATTCAGCGCCTCAGACTCACCAATTGCAACTAAGATTGTGTCCAGGGTCATTTGAGTGACAGCAGCGCCCAGTAGGGAAGCGATGATTGGGAAATTCAGAGAGCTGGCTGGCAGAAGATCAGCAATAGTTCCAAATGAAACGACAAAGGCCAGCAGAATAGTGATTGAAAAAGATATCTTCTCGCCCGACTCGATTGGGATGAAAAACACGAGAGCCGACAGAATGTATAAGAGAATATTGGGCAGCATGAAAATCACAAAATAAAACAAATGCCGTCGGTTGATTTTGATCTCCACTGTCATTTGCTCGAACCTCTAAAAATATTTTATAAATTATAAAGGCATCGAAGACTAGGTCGAAAAAATTCGCTTTCCTACATATGTTCAGCCCGAATTAGTTCATAGAGCGACTTTTTTTTGAAAAAATTGAATTCAAAGTACAGTCTGACCGATATTTTATTCGCAAGAAACTATATTAAGCTTCATCACAAAGATCTTTTCATGATGATTATTTCAGTTACAATAGCGTGTCCTAAAATTATGAATTCGAGAGAAAAACTGATTGATTGATTCATGAGCTGAACTCAAACTTGGAATTTTATTTTCTTTCCAAAAAAAGTGTGGCAAGTAGAATTGTTTGAAAAAAATAACAGTAGCACCCCATTTTTTATTCCAAAAATTTAAAAAACTTAAACTTAAAGGAACTTTGTATTCGGTTGTGTTAATTGTTCCGACCATTAAAAATGGGCAGGAACTTTGTATTGCGGTGTGTTTCAGTTTTTTTAAAAAGAATCAGGAACCACATTGAATGTTCGGACTGGGTTTAGTGATATATCATAATATAGCCCTTCTAGTCGTAACTTGAACCACATTAAAAAAATTCTCAAAAAATTCCCAGTTTTGATTAAAACATTCTTAAAATTTTTAATTTTTCGTCCTAATTCGAGCGAAAAAAGCAAGCGAGCAGGCTTACAACAGATTCAATAGAAGAAAATTGAAATTTTGAAATGATTTCTTGGAGTTTTGTAGTTCCATTCTGGGAACCAAAAACTTCGAAATATTTGAATTTTGTGCAAAGTTTTTTTTCAAAAGTTGAAATCTTTTTATTTATTTCTATTTTTGCTTTTCTAGTCAAATTTCTCAAAAAAAAGCACAGTAATCTATTATCCTTGTTTTTTACGTTTTTCTTTTCCACGCAAAAGCAGCTATCACAAGTAGTCATTGGATTGGGTCGAGTTTCATATAATATTAAAACCAATTGAACAACTTTTAACGACAGAAAAAAGTTTTAAAAAATTTTCGGTGTTGTGAAAACTGGTTAGATACTTTTGATTTTTGGTCTAAATTTGAGCTTTTAAGGTGAGCGTGCAGAAATAAAATAGCTTGCTTAAGATTAATTTGAGACGTAAAACCTGAGTCTTAATTCTTTTCGAGTTTTTTAAAGCCATTTTAGCAATCAAAAAATTTCTGCAATAAAAATAGAAAATATCTGAAAAATTTTTAAAATTGTTATTACAATTTTTATTTCGTTTTTCTAGCCATTTTTCTACATTAACTATTTTCTAACTCGCCTATTTGACTATGACTGTTGCATTCGCCTAATTTATATTTTTCGTTCAGATCTTTTTATCACACAACACGACACTAATTTGAAGAAGAAAAATTTAAGACTTTTCTCGGAACATTCTGTGCTACTTGCACAATAACTAGCTATCGTTTTTCTAATCACATTTCCTTGGGAATCAATAAAATTTGTTTCATAAAACTTTCACAAAAACTATGCTTCACCTAGATCAACCCATTCCAAAAAAGTTGAGCAATATGTCTAATTGAATTTTGATATTTTGGAAAAACACTAAAATATAGAAAAAAACACAGTAATTCAGTCTATAATAACAAATTGGACAGACGTGATTTTTAAAAATACAAGATAAGATCACATGGTTTGCCTACAGTAATTTAGTTTTTTTGACTAATATTTTTCATCGAAAAAATACGCAGCTCTGGTATTTCTGAAATAAACATTTCTTAACCAAAATTGATGCATAAGAATCAATTCCCATTAGAAGGAAAAGAACTTCAATTTTTCGATTCAATGTTTCCAGCTTTAATTATTTTTTGTAATTTATGCAAACATATAAAGTATCAGTATATTCAGAAAAACCCCGTCAACTTTTATAGAACAACCGATAGAACAAAAAGCGCAAATTAAAAGTGAACTATATTCTAAAAATCAAAACGCTTACTTTTTTAAAATGTACCAACTAACAAAGAAGCAAAAGGGAACTTCACGCTATTTGTGAAATTTTATTATTAAAATATTATGATATTACAAAATACCCTAAAAAGATGCTAATTAGCCAAAGTAGACAGATGGTCCAAGAATTTGATTTTTTAGTTCTTGAGTTCTTGAACTAATTTTTATATTAAATCAGCTGGGACATCTGAATCAATTACAAAAAGAAGTAAAATGAACTACTGAAAAAAGTCTGCTGGGCATCTTTTTTCATCAGAGACCGTGGTCAACTAGACATAAAAACGTTTTTTTCAATTTAATATTTGGTTCGAGTTGAACTATTGTTTCAACTATCGTACCAAGTTTTGAATGAATGGAGTGGCTCTCCTTTTCATTCAGGCTCCCGCAATGAGGTTCCATGGATAAAAGTCGATTAAATTTGATTTTCGTGGTCAAGAATGTTGCCATTATAATCGATTATAATTATACTTTGCGACCGCATAAGCGATTATAATCCATTGGTTTCAAAGAAATTAAATTGATATTAGGGGATAAAAATGGATTATAACCTCTGTCTAACGTGTTTCCAAATTCTCTGCAAAATTTGCAGGTTTCTACAATTCTTACAGCCTACTGAGTTTTTAAACCTACTCAAATCTACTTAGCTTTTGCAAAACAATATCCAGCACACTTTCAACATCCTTCCGTGTGAAATACCCCAATGTTTACCCCGCATCCCCCAACCATTTATCCTCAAAACATCTAAGCCCCCCTCTCCCCCTTCTCCCTCCCCCTCCACATACCCAACCGTCCCAAGTAACCTGGTGTGTAAAGGGTGGATATAGTGGAGGAAGTAAGATTGGTAGACATACATGTGTGGTTAGTGGGCGAGGGGTAGCGATAGCCCAAATAAGAAAATAATGAAAATAAATCGTAAGAAATAACAAAATAACAAAAAATTACAAGCCAAATGTGAATCTCAGTTTAATGATTACAATTTTCAAATTTTGAAAAAATACAATTTTTTTTGAAAACCTAGACTCTTGCATAAAACAAGTTGGTGATATGTTACAATAGGTGGTAATTTTTCGTATAGTGCATAAATTACATTTCAGAACTATTATGCATAATAAATCATTTCATTTTCAATCAATTGTACATGCTGCTACGATAGTTTTTGTAAACATATTACTCTTCCAGATAAAAAGTTTACACTCAAATTTTTCACTTCCTTTGACAAAAATATGGCTTTTGAAATAAATTTTATATACTGTGCGAAGTATAACAAAAAGCGATCCAGCTATTTACCTTAAAATTACCACCTATTGTAATATATCACGAACAAGTTATAATTAAAATCCCTTATAATCCATTATCATCCATTATGATCCATTTTTTGGTGTTTCATGGAAACAGACCTGATAAATGTTACTTTGAGGCAGCTAATTCTACTTTATACAATTAAAAGAATAAAAGAATAAAAGCGAATTAATCTAAAGTTAAAACATTAAAAGTGAAGAGAGCATTCTCTCCGCCGGAGTGAATGAAAGAGTGAAGGTCATATCTAAACGACGTGTTAGAATGGTTAATCATTAGCTAAACTAGAGTATTCAAAGTGCAACCACATCATTCCTCTAAGCAGGAAAAATTTGAATTGAAAAAATATTTAATTAACTAACTAACTGCACTTTTTCACCGCTTTGGGACACAAAATGAAATTTTAAGCACCATGAATGTACTAAATTAGAGATAAAAATTATCGAGTGTGTTTAATTAAGAGGACGTAAATGATATGAAATTAACTACTGGATTAAAATAACTAACCAACAGCCGCCGGATGTTAAAGTAGGTGGTCGAATTGGAAATCAGAAAAATTACGAAGTTAATTTCGTTGGAATGTAACTGAGTCCAAATTTAATTAATTGTGCTAGCGTATAAAGCATTACTAATGAATTTTAAAAATAGCCAAACAATAAGATGAAGTGTATCAACTGATCCGAAGGAATATTAATGATGTCCTAGGCGCTTAACAATCCAAAACGTATTGTACTGAAATCAAAAAACATACAGCACCAGATAGGTGAAATACAATGATTAGTTTTTAGTTTAAGAATTTCTGTAGCAGTTTATGAAGTTTTCGAGTTCATTATTGAATAGTTCGCTGTCAAGATCCGCGTTGTCGTCGAAATTGTCCACAGAAAATCTTAAGGATTCGTCCGTCGACGAATATAAATGAAGATCTGTTCGAGAAGTGTCTGGTTGAATAGTCACAATGTCCGAAGGAGATTCTAGGTGAGTTAAGATGAGTCCACTATCTCGTAAATTGGGAAGTTCACTGGAAAGTCCTCGTTTAGTGGTGTTGTTGGGTTATTCTTCGAGTCCCTTTCTTGATTGGTGGTAGTAGATTCCGCCGCAATGATGCTGATTCGCACTGCGATAATATTAGCTCGTCGTATTGGTTATCTTCTAAAATCTCAACCTTAATGTTATCATTTGCTTCAGGAGAGTTATCAGTGTTGTTATCTTGTTTTTAGCCAATTACGGAATTGGAAATAACTTTCTCCCTAATTACGTCTCTACACGGCAAGTTTCCAGCTATCCATTCCCAATCGCTTATATCGGAAGTATCCGAGGGAATAACCATAGACTCGTCAGAAGCAAGGTAACCTGGTAACAAAGTCGAAATCTTAGATCGTGGAGGTTGTCTTCAAGAAGAGTTCGTAGAAGTTCTCGACACTCGCATCCTGGTGTTATTGTCTGACGATCTGAAGTCTATTTTTTTCCTGGTCTTCGGTTGCTGTTTTTATGGAATGTTTTGTTTCCAGAGTTTCTCGCGTTTCTGACCTAGTTCAACCTTATGTTTAGAAAAGTAAGGAAATGATATGTTGCTTTTAAAACATCGGATTTTTGAAGAGTTTGATCGGGTAATGGCGATATCCGATTTTCTGATTATTTTTCCTTCGGTTAACTCTACGGTCGTACTAGAGGTGTTTATGATTTTTTGTTTTAACTCTTTATGAAACGGTTTTCCATTGATGCTCTCGCTCGTTTTCCGAAGGATTTTACCTTTAAATGGACT